GGATTGTGGCTGGGACATTGGGTCCTTCCTGACCCCACCAGGGGGGCAGTTTACCCAGCCTGTTTACCCATCCTGTTGCCAAGGTTCCCAGGCTGCTACAATGGGCTGCCTCACGCCAACCTCTGTTCCCACCTCTGACTCCCATCCTCCCCGACTGGCCTTGCCTGGACACTCCCATTGACGGCACTAGTGTGGAGAAACATTTCCTTGAATTCTCAGTGTCCTGACCTTCTGCTCTGGCCTCTCTTCCCCTGCCTTGGATCCCTTCCTTTGGCTCAGATGGACAAGTGATGGGCAGGATTAGGGGGCTGTCTACAAAAGGTGATAAGGACCAGGAGTTGGAGAGAGGGCTTGCTCCTGCTAGAGCAAAACTAGAGCTCAGAGTTTACTGACTCCTAGCCTTCTAATCCTACTCCTCCTCCACCGGCATTTCATAGCCTGTCATTCATTTCTATCTTAGTGAGAATAAGTTCATTAGCTTCTCCTAAAAGGAAGAAGTGACAGGAAGCAGCCAAGGGGCATTGATGGGATGGGGAGCTGGGGGCCTATAGACTACCCTAGGGGAACCTTGACCTTCCTTGATGTCCCTCCTGATGAGGGTCTGAGCTAGAAAGCCAGTCAGACTTCCTGAGTTCTGAATTGTATCTCCTTCACCTAAAACTGTTTGACAGTTGAGTGGGCATCTCTGAGCCTGGCTGTCATCTACGAAATGGGAGTAGCAACAGTGTTATCCTTTGGGATCACCACCTTATGGATGAACAAAGCAATGAGCATGGAGTGCTGTCCATGGGTTGGTGTCATGGCATCCCCACCTTCCTGAGGCAATGTTCTTTCTTTGAGCCTCTCCTCCACTCTGGATCTGCCCTGTCTTACCTGACTCCAGACAGCTCTTCTCTTCATCTACCCTTCAGTCTTCTTCCACCTGTCCAGAGCTCTATATGGACCTTCAGAGACCTAGGCTAGAAGAAAGGGCATCATGACCTATGCTACAGCCAGGCAGTGAGGGCTGCTGGTCCCTGTGGCTAGGGCTCACCTCTGAACTCTCTAAATCCAAGAAGCAGAATCTTACAGGTTTGCCATTGCCAGAGGTGGCATTGTCCTAGGAGACTTTAGCTGGCACGTCCCCTGTTGCTTATAACAAGGGACTCCAGGGTACCTTTGGTTGGTCAAATCCTGCCCCACCCCACCCCCATGTTTATGCAAATGACAAAAAAATTGCCAGGTTTGTTGGCTGGGTTGGCCCCAAACCTCCTGTCAAATTCCATTTTTACAGCGTCACTGCAGCTGCCCTTGGGGGCCGAGCTCCACCAGGAGGGAGACTCATTCCCCTCCGGCCCCTTCTGCCATTCCTCTTAGAGCTTAGGGGCAGCTCCAAACTCACAGGAGAGAAGGGTCATTCAGGGCAGGTTAGGATATGATGAGCCTGGCTGGAAGTCAGCAGCCTCCTGTGTCACCTCCTCTTTGTGACCCTTCCTTTTCCTGAGCCTCCCAAGCTGGCTTCTTCCCAAGGACCCTTCACAGTGACGTTGGAAGATGGGGTTGGAGAGTACAGTGTATATGTGAGGGGTTATGGGGGACACAGGACTGCCCTGAATCAGGAACAGGAGGAGGGAGGGGTAACGTTCAGGGGTGGGGAGTGGCCTGGATACTCAAACACCAGGTTGCTGTCTATCTGCCTTACACTGTGTAATCATGCCAGTCAGGATCCTGGTGCTCTGTGTGACAAGAGCCAGGTGTAAAGGGAGCTCTGTAATGCTGAACATCTCACCTCCGTGTTCTGGTCTTTGTTTTTTTGTTTTTGTTTTTTTGTTGTTGTTGTTTTTTGTTGTTTTTTTCTCATCAACACAAGCAGCACAATAGCAGTTTGTGCCTTTTAGGGTAGGGTAACTGTGAGATTCCAACAGCACATGTAAAGCGCATGTAAGTGTGTAGTGTGTGCTTAATCAAGGTTATCTGTAACTGCTGCAAGTTTGTCGTAAGCAACGTTAGTGAGCTCTTTATCCTGGGTCATAGGGGATGGGTTTGCATCTGTGAATCCTCCAGGCAATGTCAGGCCATGAAGTAAAGCTGTTCACTAGTGTGGCAGCAGCGGCAGTGGTGGGGTGGTGGTGGCGGTGTTGGCAGTGGTGGTGTGGCAGTGGTGGTGCACAGAAACACACCAAGATGTGGAAGCCATTGGATGAATTTATGGTTGAGAGGTCTGTACTAGTGGGAGGCACACTGCGGAGTCATGAGCCCATGTCAGCTGGGTGTGTAAACAAGTTTTGCACATGCAGGGGTATGGCTTTAGGGGTGCAAGGATTTCGTGGGGGATTGTGCTGTGACAGCCTCCCCTAAGACGCTGAGACTCTGTGGTGCTTCTCCATAATGTGAGTCCCCTGATGTTTATCCTTCGGGATACTGTCTGTCCCCATGAGCAGAGTAGAGTCACAGTGGCCGGTTCCTCCTGGGGTAGCATGAGCCTCCTTTGTCCTTTGCTCTGGAGTTGATGATGACAGACCCCTTGTACTTGTCATCTCAGGGTGGTCCCCAGCTATTTCTCATCTAAGGAGCCCATGGCTCTGCAAGGAGGTAAGAGCTTGCCAAGATCATAGGGATAGCCCAGCCAAGGGACTTGGTTTTGGGCCAGTGGACCTGTTTCCAAGCCGAGCAGAGGAGGTAGACACTGCATGGTCCACACATTCCCTATGACTTTCCCATGTGTGGAAACCTCATTGTAGCTGTCCCAGGGGAATGGCCTGGCTGAACACTTCATGTTTTACACAGTGGGTAACTGGGGTGGAAGAGGAATACCACAGTTGGGGTCGGCTCTGTGCTGTCATTGTGGCATCAGTGGGGAGCTACAGGTGTAGTAGATAGACAGGAGGTTGGAGCCAGAAAACCATGAAACATTGTACCTGGTCTCCATGGACCTCTCTGCTGACTCCAGCATAGGGGGGGAGGGGCTTTGCCCTGGATACTCACTGGATCTCAGTTTCCCCATCTATAAAATGGGATAGTGGTAAACTACCTATTTCCTCTATCAAAGCACTTACATCTCTCAGAGTCCACAAACTCTGAGCCAGGCTGGCAAAATGCCTAGGAAGACTGTCCCTGGAGACCCATCAGCCTGTCAGGGCCAGAGCTAATTAGGGTGAGTTAGGAGGGAGGGCAGGGTCAGATTCCTCAAGAGCTAATTAGCTTCCCACAGTGGGGGAGGGGTTTTCTCAGCCACTGAGTAAGTATGACCCTGGTCATAGACTGATTCCCCCAGCTGCCTGTGACTCATCTGTCCAGGCATCTTTGTTTATTCATTGTTCAACAGCGTTGAGCACCGAGTGCATGCCAGCTGGGCACTGTGGACAGAAAGAGAAATGGTGACCTCGCTTACTAGGGGGCCAACCCATGACCTCTGTCTTTTCCACTTGCCACTGCCTCTTCCCCCAGAAAGACCCTGAACACAGCTAAGGAATGATTCAATCTTTACCACCTGTAGTTGTGTGGCCTTGCATCTGTCAGGAATCTCTGAACTTCCTCATAGAAGTTTCTCTCTTCTGCACTACAGGCACACAATGGCTGTCACCCAGTGCACTTGGAAGAGCACGACGAATGAATACAGTGGGCCAGTGTAGCTACTATTCAGGGGTGGGAACACTGCCATGAAGCCACGGCTACTTTTTTTATGTGAATGTGTTAACTGCCCCCCCCCCTTTTCTTTTAAAGACAGGTTTCTCTGTGTGGCCTTGGCTGTCCTGGAACTCACTATGTAAAATAGGCTGTCCTAGAACTCAGAGATCTACCTGCCTCTGCCTCCCAAGTGCTGGGATTAAAGGTGTGCACCACCATGCCTGGTGTGTTAACTTATTTTTTTATTTTTTATTTTTTTATTTTTTTGGTTTTTCAAGACAGGTTTCTCTGTGTAGCTTTGGAGCCTATCCTGGCACTCACTCTGGAGACCAGGCTGGCCTTGAACTCACAGAGATCTGTCTGCCTCTGCCTCCCGAGTGCTGGGATTAAAGGCGTTCGCCACCAACACCCAGCGTTAACTTATTTTTTAACAAAGAAGTCTTGGGGGGCAGCTGAGATGTGTCAACAGGTAAAGGTACTTGCTTCACAAGCCTGGTGACTGAGTTTGATTCCCAGAACCTGTGTAAAGGTAGAAGAGACCTGACTCCACACATTATCCTCTGACCTCCACACATGCAACATGGTACATGCTTCCCCATAATGATAAACTCAAAATTCCTTTAAAAATACATCTTAGCACCATCTTTCTATACAATATCAAGAAAATGACCATACTGTGAATTTGAAAATATGAAGGACCCCCAGGAAGGCACATGGAAGGTATTCTGGGGTTGCTTTGCACATTTGGGAATCTCTAGGTTAAACACTATTCTGCGAATTGGGGTCAGAGAGGTAAACATGTCAAGCGAGCCCCTCAGAGCTGTGCTTGAGGTGAGAAGATAAATCAGGATATGCACAAACACTTTACTTTCAAACAGTGGTGAATGTAGAGGAAAGGCAGAGATAAGACAGGAGACAGGAAGGCCCCACCAGGGAGGGCATGCTGTCAGGTGAATAGATAGTCCCAGCACATACAAGGCCTTACTTGGCCATGCCTTGTCTTTCTTCCTCTTCCCCATCTTTAGTGTAGAAGACAGGCAGAGTTGATGTGAAACACTCTCAAGGGGTGAGAGTGACCAGTGGCCAGAGGGACCATGGGAAATGTAGTTAGTGAGGTTGGGAAGTACTGTATTAGCATCCTTCCAGGGCAGTCCAGTGGGCAGGCCATCCTGAACAGTGGATCAGCTTTATCCCTGAATCTTCATGACAGCTGATTCTAGGGAACCTGAGTAAAGATCAGATTTCAAAGAAAGGGTCAGATGTGGGAGGGCGTGGTGACTGTCTCTCTGTACACCCATTTGCTAACTAGGCCTGTGTACTCTCTGCAGCATTAGGCCGGAGCACTAGCCTCACTGAAAAGGATCTCAAGGAGGCCAAGGCGTGGAGTCAGCAGATTGCAGCCCAGCTGACCACCCCTCCCAGCTCCAACTCCCGAGGTGTCCAGCTCTTCAACAGGCGCCGGCAGAGGGTGAACGAGTTCACCTTGGAGAGCCGTGGCCAGAGGCCACCAAAGCTCAGCCAAGAGGCCCTCCAAGCAGGGCATCCTTTGAGCCCCATAGGCCATGCCCCAGGGCTCAGTCTGAGACCTCCATCACCACCCAAGCCAGGCCCTCCAAAGCACCCCAGCTCCCGAAGCCCCAGCAGAGGGGTTCCTGGTCACATCATGGAGGAGTACTCAGAGGAAGCCAGTCTCCTGCGGCACCTGGAGAAGGTTGCCAGTGAGGAAGAAGAAGTGCCACTGGTGGTTTATTTAAAGGAGAATGCAGCCTTGCTAACAGCTAATGGGCTGCACCTGTCCCAGAGCCGAGAGACACAACAGTCCTCACCAAACCCTCCAGCTACTGAGCCACACGGTCCAGCTGCAGACATCAACCAGAACCCCTCCTCGCCCGGTGCCACACTCACCACACCAGCGTCCAACAGCCACCACAACCAGCCCGCCACGGATGTGAATCAGAATCCCCCAGCCACTGTCACCCCTGTCCAACAGAATTCACCTGAGGCACAGTGTCCCCCAAATGGCACACCTGATTCCAAACCCAGCACTCCATGTGCTGATGGGCAGCGCCAGGTGCCAACAGAGGAGGTGAGATCCAGCATTC